GGCTTCCTAATAATCCCCATCTATGAATTGGCTTCATTACTGTGCTCTCCTCCCAACTCCTCCTCCTCCCATTACCTCTAAAGCGCTTTGAGTGGAGTGTCCAGATAAGCGCTATATAAGTGTAAGCAATTATTATTATTATTATTATTATTATTATTATTATTATTATTATTATTAGATATCACTATATCTGCATCCAAACAGCTGAAGTGTTTTTACAATTAATCGAGGCTTTTCTCCACAGCATGAGCTTCAGAAATAAGTAACCAGCACTCTCCCTTGAAAAACAAACTTTTAAATATTGAAAAAAAAGTTGTTCTATGTTCAGGAAACTGTTAAACTGAATTATCTAGTACATTAATTTTTTTACCTTAAAAAATGTACATTTTTTAATGTACAGTCGAAAGGGTTGTTTTCACTGGCAGGTTGTTGACACCTGGGTTTGAGAAAGTCTGCCTGCGCAGGTGCGTGCTCTGCGAACAGGGTGCAGGGCCAACAGACTTTCAGACTGCGCAGGTGCATGCTCAGCGAACAGGGTTCAGGGCAAACAGACTTTCAGACTGCGCAGGTGCATGCTCAGCGAACGGGGTTCAGGGCAAACAGACTTTCAGACTGCGCAGGTGCATGCTCAGCGAACAGGGTTCAGGGCAAACAGACTTTCAGACTGCGCAGGTGCATGCTCAGCGAACAGGGTTCAGGGCTAGAACCCTGACCTTACAAGGACAAACCCCAGTGTGGATCTGAGAAGGCAGCAGCTGTCCTGCCCACCATCCAGGGGGAGATGGAGAGCAGGTTGGTGGAGCAGAGCTGATAGTCCTGAGTTCAGGCCTGGGCACCCTGGCGACTGGTATCGGGCTACTCTGTCCACTCCACTACCAGTCCGACAGGCCTGTTCTTCTCTGCCATAAACACTGGGGCTACAGGACACTTGTATGTTTCATTTAAAGGCTTCTACCAAGCCCGCTGTCTTTATACAGTCGCCTTTTTCACTGGAAACTCTGCAGTATGGCTAATTATATCACAATAGCTCTTCATTTATAGCTGAGCAAAAGCACATATTCTAATTTAACGGACAAATATTGGACCTGCAGTCTACTTAATCTGACCAAAATTTTCAAGCACCATCCAGCTCCATTCATTTGGTACAATGGCGATAAGTGAGAGCTGTGTTTCACTGCTATGGTGCCACTCTCCACAGAGTCTATTTCCTGTGATCCTGGTGGAATTGCAGGCTGTGAAGAGGATATCTCACGCAGCCAGCATGGAGGTTATAGCTTCAGGTATCTCTGAAAACACCTGTCAGTACACTTTCATAAAATGCTAATAATAGCCATAAAGCTCTAGGAATTTCCACTGAGATTTATTTTTGTGAGTGGATACGGCTGTCATTCATTAACTTGTGAGCACAAGATTTCTATTTCTGTTGCTTTCTAAACGGCAGAGTCAGGGCTCCTGTTCAGGTCAAAGGGACACATTTGCATCGTAAAGACTGCTGCTCTTGTAGCCTGCACTGGGGTGCAGAGGGGAGCCCCACGATTTGACACAGCACGGGGGGCACTATGAAGACTGTCACTGCTGTAATCTGAAGCACCTCTGGGGTGCAGAGGAATGTCTTTAAATGGCCTCTCTTATTTGTAATGATTTCATTATTAAAAACTAAAGCTGCCATGACTGTGTCTTGACAATCAGTCACTATTTATCTTAAATATATTTGAATATATTTAGAGATTAATATGCCGTATATGTTGCTATTTATTTCATATATCATGTAATAGTATGTGTTATTTTATTATATTCACATAATATACAAATCAATCAAATCTAACTATAAATTAATAAATATGCAAAACATGAGGACTGAAGAGGATTCAGCTCAGAGCTGAAAGGTTTTAAGGAACTTCAATTCCCAAAAGCCCTTTCTGCGAGCCAGGAGGCTAGGTGCTCTGTCTGTGACCGTGTGAGCGCGCGCTCGTGTCTGCCGAGTTTGCTGACGTCACCGCTGGAGCTGCCCTGTCACGCGCTGTTAGTAAAAGTTGGGATAGAAGCTCGAGACAGAGCGAGAGGCGATAATTTTACCTACCGTCCTGTACCGTCGCCCAGGCAACAGCACCGGCACACCGGACACGGCCGCTCGTCCGCAGCGAAGCGCAGGAGAGCACGAAGCGTGAGCAGTAAAACTCTGGGAAGAGAAGCGCTTCGGAATACGGGAGCGAGGATTTTAATGTAGGCTGTGGGTCCGCAAAACCGGGGGCAGAAATCTTGCGGAGCGACGACCACGAAAAAGTTTTGTTTTTAAATGTTGTGAGGAGTCCTGCGGCGGGGCATTGCTGAGCAGAGTGACGGGCGAGCCCGAGCTGTCAAACCCGATGACTACTGCAAACTGCAGCGGCAATGAGGAGCTGGACTTCAGGCTGATCTTCGGGGAGGACGGGCAGCAGCAGGCGCTAGGCCCCGCAGGTTAGTGCCTTCCGGACCGGCTGTGTCCGCGCTGACGCTCGCCGTGGGCGCCCGGCCCGTCCGGCGGCTGCGCTCCGTGCCTGTCCCGCCGGCACGCCGCTGTTCCCAGCCGTGCAGCGCGGAAGAAGTTTGCAAACTTTGGGAACAGCGGTGCCCTTTTTGTTATTACACCCCGCAAGTGGGAATGCCGCTTATTTTCCTAGGTGTGGATAATACTTATTCCGCTGGTTGGATTGTCTTATTATTAATTCTCGCTTTAACAGTTTGCACGTTGTAGTTGTTTATGTTCTGTAATTTGCATCTATTGTCTTAATTTACAGTCTCGCATCAAGGCTCCCCCCTTCATTTCAGAGCGAGGCAATCGAATGAAACCTCTCATTTTATATAAACATAAAAACCGCGTCCAGTTGATAGAAATTCGTGCCAGCTCTTATTGGCTGTTGCAGTGATGTCTCTGAGTGCAGGTTAATGTGCCTCTTCTTTCACTCATGTTCGGCGAAAGTGAGTCCGAGGCAGCGAGTGTCACTGGCGCATTTTTAAATTAATTTTAATTTTTGTTTTCCTTTACAAACGGAGTTGTGGAAAATCTAGAAGAACAGGTTTCAAATGTTTATGTAGCGAGTCTAAGCTCACCCTGGGGGCACTGCTGGTGGAAATTCTGCTTGTGGAGGTGCATTGAATTAAAAATAAAATAAAATATAGGTACGTAGTGCAAATACAATTGTTAGTTTTCCGTGCCTCCGTTAATATAATCAGATCACTTTGCATCGTGTTTGAGGTTGTCAACACGTGTGAAAACAGGCTCGCTGTCTATAGACAGACTTTCAAGTCTTCAGAAGTGACTGAGTTATATCTTAAGCCCCTGTACACCACTGGCAGTTATTTATGCTTTTTTAAAAAGAAACTGCAGTTCTGATTTTCTCTTCTTGTAGCTGCGGTTGCTCAGCATTTAAAAATACTCCTTTGGTCCTCTCGTGGTATTGGAGCTCTTTGGGCGATGCCGGTGGGAGAGTGGTCACTCTATAACCAGCGGGCCCTGCGCGGCCTGGTCAGCTGCGTCTCTCCGGCCGCGTCGCCTGGACAGCTGGCGGCGACCTGCGTGCCTCAGCGCTGGCCCTAGCATCGAATTATTTCTCATTTTGTTTGCGAGAGTTTCAATAAAAAAAAAGAAGACGCGGTGACGTGCATTTGTTTCGCAAAAAAAAAATACCTGTGGTAACCATTTTGAAACCGTTAGCAACCGACACCTGTCAAGTTGAGACCGGCGCACATGGCAGCGGGCACCGTGAGCGACCCGTCCCGTCAGAGTGCCCTCAGGCTCGCAGAATTACAGGATTTACACCGGAAACAAACCTCTTTACTTTTTAAAAAATCCTACTTTATTTCTCACGTATTTCTTGTCCATTTGCACACCCCAGAACTGCACGGTTGGGTTAGGTCTGGAACAGGAAAACGGTCAGACTCCAGTGTAACTCGCAGGTCGCTATCAGCACATCAGAGGCTGCAGTGGCGTCTGCCCTTTACTGTAAAGACATCTCCAGCCAGCGGGGCTCCCGGGGCTGGCGAGCGTCTGGGAGAGAACTACGGCACTTGTGATGATGCAGTCAAACATACAGCTTTCAAAACGTCCATCCTTTCTAACCCCTGCGTGTCTGCGTTCACTTTCCCTCTGTCAGCTGTGCGTGAGAACGCGCATCCCGTTTAATAGGATACAGAAAAGGTTACAAGATTTTAACAATCAGCTTTTCAAATGATGGTTTTAGCCCATTCTCAACAATAGCCACGGTTAACTCTAGACCGCACACAAGAGCAGTATCTGTGCCAACAGAGAAGCCGAAGTCAGGAGGGGCAGAGCGCGCACGGCCCCGGGACAGCAGCCTGGGGCCCCGCGCGCAGCGGGGAGACTGGCGCCGCAGGACAAAGAAGGTCACGAGGGTCAAATGAAAATGACAAATATACAAAGTTTGCATAACTTTAAAAATTCGTGTGCCTGCATGTTTTTGGTGGGGAAAAAAGTGGGGTGTGTTAATACAGAAGGTAACTACTTTCTCTGTGACTATGAAGAGGGGGATAAAAGCACAGGCATGCTTTAAGGAAAAGTGAAACCTAAAGGTCCCAGATTCACCCCTCCCAGTAATACTGATTACCTTGACTTGCTTTTCTTTCGTACAGTACATCTGCTGATGTGTACAGACTACTGCTGCTTGTTTTCTTTATTGAGAACGTGTATGATTCGAATCGGCTGTATAATTTGACTAGTTGCATCTGCCTAGATATCGGATAATCATGTTCTGTGATGCAGTTCAGTGTTTTTGAGGAGCAAGTATGTTTGGCTTCTGAAGTGTCAAACATAACTCACATTTAAAAAATGTGTAGAACTACTGTCTGTCCAGACTGCACATTTTTGGTTTATACTGAGGGGTGTATACAAACCCTTACTATCAACGTTTTCTATAGTGAAAAATATTGAATTCACTGAGAAACACTGACTTGTATGTGTAGTGTATTATATTTTACAGTATAGTTTATCATGCAGCCAGTTGTGTAGTTCTGTATCAGACATAAACATTTCATTTTTTATGCATATAACACATATATCCACAAATGTTAGGACTTTTTGAAAGAAAAGAGTTTATTAAAAAACTCCTTATCTTATGACGTTCAGCATCTTTAAGATCTATCGTCATGGTCTTTGAGTGTTTCCTGCCAGGTGCTCTCCTGTTGATGTGTTGTATGCAAGTGTGTGTGTTGTTCTGGATGAGTGAATAGGGCTCCATTGATTTTACACATTGAAAAGTACTTCAGGATAGAATAAACAAACTTTTAAAAAAGTGAAGTCATTTATTTGTTCCAGCAAAGGGTGATATTTCCTTAAAGAAAATCCAACTCCTTATCATATAAAATGTTGTAAAACTATTTTTTGCAGCTGAATATTAAAATGGACTTATGTGTTTCATTTGTGCAGCAGTCATAGAGAAAACAGTCTTGTTCTCAGTCATCCTGATAGCCAGAAGATGTGGCACCGCGGTGTAAGACCAAAGGAAAATTCCAAGTCATTGGTTTTTCAATTTTACTTCAAAACGTCTGTACTTTCATAGCCTGAGAGAGGACTGCTGGATTAGCAATTGAAATCTCCCGACTTGTCTCAGTGCTCATTTAGCTATGCTCTCATCTCTGGTGCCACTGTAGTCTCAGTGACAGGTTCACCTGAGTCACAAAATCGCAAAATTTCGCAGTCACAAAATTTCATTTTGTCTTCTCGAAGTGTAAGATACTGTTTGCAGAAGAGTAAGATGGTCTGTGTTCTGTTAGCATGACGGTGTCTGCCCCAACGGGTTACTGTGAGGGGGCGAGATAAAAGTCATATTTACATAAAGCTGAGGTATTTATACCTCAAAGGCCTCTTGCTGTTTTATTATTATTATGATTGTTAGAAAGTTGCTAAGCCACGGGCAAGTCGAAATTTATTGTCCATCTTTATTTAACATACTTGCTTTGTTCAGTCACTGGGAGCCTTTGCTCTCTAGTGTCTTACCACTGAAACAGTGACTCTCTGCAGCGTCAGTGACAGTCGTCCACTCTCTCCCAGCCCTTTTACTGCCACTGGTTTCCTGCTGTAGTCTCTATCGTTGTGCTGTGATTCTGCATTTAATCTTTGACGATGAGTGTTAATTTCTTTATAGATGGAAATTACAAATCAGTAATAAAATCAAATGTGTTCTGTATTTATATTTTTCTATAGTGTATGATTTAGGTAATTACAATTATATTTTGTATTGTTTTAAAAATGGTTTTAATTTGTTTTAATTTAAATCTTGGGTGTTAATTTTCTTCAGATAGTTAATTTTAATTTTTGAGTGATCTAGTTTAGCAGGTTAATCTAGGACAATCCTGTCTGGAAGGAAGCATTTAAGTGTCTGAAATAAATATAGAGGAAAACATGCAGGGCTTTCCCAGAGAACTCTTTTTCATTATCATGTCTTCCATTATGCCTGCTAAATGCTTTTCAGTTCCTTTGTAGTACTGTAGATGTGTTTGTCATGTTTTTGTTTTTAACTTGTATGTATTTTATATCTTTCTACCAAAGAGCAGATTGTTTGGTAAATGTAATACTTTAAATATTGTTTGTCATTATTGTACATCCATTTTCAACCCTTCAGTCCTGAGGAGGGTCATGACTCTTTATATGTGAATAAAGTAGTGTCACGGCTCAGAGAGAGCACTATCTTTCACACTAAATGTTCTGCCTTAGTTTACTTTTTTTTTACTTTATTTAATCCCAATATGTTTAATACTTGTACTGTCAATGGGTAACACATTCTACTGTGACAATAAAAGTGTCGGCCTTCTAGTGTGTTAGGAGGTGAGGGTATAAAGCCTTATACCCAACAAGAGCATCCTGTAGACAAGCATTGCTGTTGTAAAGGAAATGAACGTGCTCTGTAATCTTGACAAGTATTTGATTAATTCAAGTAAAAATTGATCAGTTGGGCTTTCTGTTCACTTTTGAAGACTATTATTGATTTTAAATTGCTGAATACTCAGACTTCAGCTCTTCTCAATGCAAAATACCTGAAATAAAGTACATACTAAAGGGAAATTTGGGTTTGTATGTTAAATCTGAATATCTTAATTATTATACATTATTAATATTAACATGTAATTATTTTGAGAACCGTGGTGTAAAATATAGATATGTACTAAAATATTTGGAATATGAATGTCTAAAAATAAGAAACATTTCAGGTGATTTAATAACTTTTAAATTTAAAATGGCTTTTTTCTTCTTTGCATTTGAGCTTAGGATGTTAGTTTTAGAAAATAAAGGATGCTAATGTATGTTCTGTATGTTTTTAAATTTATTTTTTCTTAACCTTAGGGGTGTTTTACTCAGTAGTTATGAACTAAATTGAAAATTACAGGTACTATGAATAATTTTCATGAGATCACCTACATAATCAGGAGCAGTGCTGTGTCTGACATTAGCTCTTTAAAAAAGC